GACTACAGGAAAACCAGAGAATGAAATGAGGTTGGAAGGGGGTCAACCCAAGGACAAGAAGGCCAGCAGTGACCACTAAGAAACTCAGTGACAAACAGCCTAGGTCAACACTTTCCACACTCTTTTTTGAAGATTAATAGATCATCTTGCATGTATTCCTCCCTTTTCGGTTCAAAGGGTAGTTATACAAATATCTGGATCCTGTTTATTAATTTTTTTGAAAGGACAGGAGTCTCGCTCTGTCACTCAGGTTGAGGTGCAGCGGCGTGATCACAGCTCACTAGAGCCTCGACCTCCTTAGCTATGACTAAGGCACAAGCCACCACCCAGCTAATTTTGTTTTTTATTTTTTGTAGACAGGATCTTGCTATGTTGCCCATTTTGGTCTTAAACTCCTGGCCTCAAGTGATCCTCCCACCTCATCCTCCCAAAGGGTTGCGATTACAGGCATGAGCCACTGTGCCTGGCCTTTATGGTGTTTAGAATGATTTGGGAATGTTCATTAAAACAAGGTCTTTACTCCCACATTAAAAAAAAAAAAGTTAAATGGGTTTTGACTGCCTAAGTGTTTGCAAAAAGAGGCAATTTGCAAGTATTTGAAAATACATCTTTCTATAGTAGCGGTTTCCCTTTATTTTTATGTCTGAGACACAAGCACAGCTTTTCTTTATTCTGACCTGCCATTAACTGGCCTTGTGCCAGATGACTAGCTTCTAAGAGCCTTGGTTCTCTCCTCTGTAAAACAATGAGGATAACAACTCCCTCAATCGCCTCTGTAAAGATTACAGGCAAGAGCTAGAGCTTGTATAGCACCTAAGACACAGTCAGCACCCCAAACGAATGAGTTCTCCTCCCCAGCTGTCTTCCAGGAGGTAACAGCCAGGGAACTACAGCAGCCTCCTTCACTTGAAGTTGCTCTGGGGTTAGAAGTGCTCTTCAAAATAGTTTTACAACTCCTGACTAGTAAATATACCCTGAAAAGGGGAGGAAATAGGCCTCAAAGACACAGCTGAGCACAGATGTTGAGCGGCATAGGAGAGTAATGCATCTCAGCTGGTAGCAACACTTTCCAATATTCCAAACTGTGCTCCTTTCAATGAGAGTAAACGCTATTAAGCGGCTGCAAAAACAAAGCACCACTAGAAATCCTTTCTTTAAAAATTGTTTAATGAAAATCGCACTCACATTCATATAGCTCTCTCAACGTTTTGTGCTTAACAACCTAATTTCTTCAGTTGCCCAAGTTGTGATGCTTTTTCCCACCTCGGATCTTTCCACAGGTCTGGAATACACTGTCCTTTCTCCATCTTCACCTGGCCACATCTCTTTCCCTTTTAAATCCCTGACTGTATTAGTCTGTTTTCACATCGCTGTCAAGGTTCTACCTGAGACTGGGTAATTTATAAACAAAAGTGGTTCAACTGACTCACAGTTCTGCATGGCTGGAGAGACCTCAGGAGATTTACAATCATGGCGAAAGGCAAAGGGGAAGCAGGCTTCTTCACAAGGTGGCAGGAGAGAAGAATGCAAGGAAAACTGCCACTTTTAAAACCATCAGATCTTGTGAGAACTCTCTATCATGAGTACAGCATGGGGGAAACAGCCTCAATGATCCAATCACTTCCACCCAGGGCCCTCCCGACATGTGGGGATTACAATTCAAGATGAGATTTGGGTGGCGACACAGAGCCAGACCATATCACTGACACCACCACCGAAGCTGGGAAAAGGGCACATGGGGATTCATTGTACCATTCTCCATACTTTTGAGTATTTGTGAAAATTCCATAGTTAGGTCTTTTAAAAACAATTATTTAATACAAAAAATGGAAGAAAAACAAGGTGGGTTATCCCAAATACACCAATCCCACCTGCCCATGAACCTGAACTGCAGCACATCCACTAACAAATATGTAGCACTGCCCACGATCTCATGGATGTGTCCTCAGTAACCCCTGGCCTGTTTTATGTGTCATACAATTTCATATATTTCAGTGAGTCTGGAAGTATACTTTTTTTTTTTGAGACAGAGTTTTGCTCTTGCTGCCCAGGCTGAAATGCAATGGCATGATCACTGCAATCTTCGCCTTCCAGATTCAAGCGATTCTCCTGCCTCAGCCTCCTGAGTACCTGGGATTACAGACATGCACCACCACACCCAGCTAATTTTGTATTTTTAGTAGAGACAGGGTTTCTCCATGTTGGTCAGGCTGTTCTCAAACTCCTGACCTCAGGTGATCCAACTGCCTTGGCCTCCCAAAGTGCTGGGAATATAGACATGAGCCACCACACCTGGACACATGTTTAATATTGTAGCTAATATTAACCTATCACAATGGATAACTCCTGTTTTATATGTCATCATACAATTTCGTATACTGAAGTATATGAAACTCATTTCACTTGATCTGAAGCTGAAAGAAGTATTAAACAAAGAGCCAGCATTATTTCCCCAGCTCCCGCTAGTGTTAACAACATGACATTATTATCAGTGTTTTGTGGGACCAATACATTTGGAAAATCGGCAAGAGTTGCTGTTTTTAAGCAGAAAACAGTATCAGGGAGAAGGGAGGGCAGAATTTAAGAAGAAAAAAAAATGTGTTTTCTTGTTCCTTATCCCAAAATGAGTTTAAAGTAGAGAATCGAGGCACAAAGAAGTTATCCAAAAGTGCTGTGTAAGAGCCCCTGACTCGCATGAAGCAAGCATTACATGCAAGTCAGGGGGCAGCTACCCAGCCCACCTGTTCCGCAGCTCCTCACCCCTTTCCAGTGACTGTGCCTCCTGCAGACTTGCGCACCTCACACCTCTGCAGACATCTCAGAGGCCTCGAAGGTGCTCTCCCTGGCAGGGCTCAATCACAAGAAACCTGGCCAAAGCCCTCCCCAGGGAGGACAGGAAGGGACGGTGACCTGGAGTGAAGGCCTGGGTCTTCCCCAGACTCAAGCACTTATGGTAAAAGAACCACAGTAGTAATAATTAGCTAACATTCTGAGTGCCTACTATGTGCTGAGCACCACGATAGGTATTTTATTCATATTTTCATTTAATCCTCACAACTCTTCTAGGAGGTTGAGGAATTTCATGATAGAGGAAACTGAGCAAAAACAAAACAAAAACGCTTTGCTGAGAGGTTGGGGAAAGATCTTGCACAAGGATTCATAGCTAAATAAAGCTTGGACACAAATAAAAGTAGGTGAACACCAGAGGTCTTTATTATGCTATCAAGTTTTGGTAAGCTCAATTAGGAGGTGAAATGGCAGGATACGACTGATAACCCCCTGAAAAGTATTATAGACATGTCACGAAGACAGGTGAGCTGAGAGCCCATCCCGCGCACTGCAGGGAGACTGTCAACAGCAGGAACACAATGTCAGCACCCCACCTCACAGAGGAACAGAGTTCTATCTCCTCTCCTCTGAGGACCCAGACCTGGGAAAATGACTCTAACTAAGCCAGAATGCCAACTTACTAAGTTACAATGAGAACTATAACTTGGAGGAAAACCAAACACTCAGTGTCTAAGTTCAATTTTCCCTCTTCCCAATGGCAAAATTTACATGGGCAATGAAGTTTCCACCAGAAAATTGCTTGGTAAAAACACTAAAGTACAGCATTAAGACGGATGGCTCAAGTCATAAAAACCTGAAACGATGGTACTATAAATACCAATCATCCTAGGTTTTCTGGGATAATCTTCAATACTCCTATCATGAGACCAAATGTTGTGAGCTGCTATTTCAAATACAGGACCATCCCTGCCACGACAGTGGCATCTCCTCCTTTTCATGTTCAAGGCTCTATACAGATCATACCTTTCCAATCACATACTTACCTCAAAAACCACTCTAATCTGTGCAGTTTCCTTGTCTTACAATCATACTGTAGTTTTGAGAAAACATGCTCATCTGGTTGGATTCAAGAAGCACACATGTCCGACACATTTGGAAAGCAGGTTCCTCTTGTCACACAGCACGCTGACATAGCGGAAGAGGCTTGGGTGTCCTCATTAGTACTGTGACCACTCTTTGACCTTTGATTTCAGATGCTAGCGCTTTTTAATTTTTGTGCCCAACTCTACACATGAAACACTTTTGGAATAACTAGAGACATGACTTTCTTTATCTGGGAAGAGGAGGGCATTGAACTAGATTAGGGGCTGGGAGGGGAGGTTGGCAGGGGATGAGTTTCTCCTGAGGAGAGGTGGAGGGCAAGCTTCACTCAGCAGCTGGACCCCCACCTCGTTTATAGACTGAAATCCGGCATGGTGGTTACAACAGTGAACAATATGTTCATACACATAGACTCTGCCCCGAGGGGACCTACTGTTTTTTGGTTTTTAAGAGACTGAACAGTAATCCATACATATGTGTGTGTGTATATATGTACATACATATGTGTGTATGTACATACATATGTGTAGTATGTATATGTCCACAGGCAGAGTCACCCAAAAATTCTATTTTCTGTTTCCTCAAGTATTAAAATGAAAGGAGAAGACTGCTACCACTCAGCTGCCACATGCTGCTTCTATGAATCCTGGTCCCTCTCTGCCCATTACTCAGAAGACAGGCCAAATGATACAAAACCAGGAAGTTTTAAGGTTGAAAAATCAAACTGGATTTTATTAAAATATATGTAAATAACCCTCATTTTTCTTTATTTCATCAGCATTGGGAAGTTAAGTGAAAATTAACTAAAAAGTAGTAGTCCAAAGAGAAATGAAGGCTGAGAGGGAATCAAGAAAACCATATTCCATCACAGATCTGCCACTACCCAGTCTGGGAAAGGCATTTAGTGTCCTGGCCTCAACTGTCAAATGAGGTGGCTGAAAAATATGTTGTCTAGAGTCAATTACAGCTCTACAATTCTGTTCTAATTCTACCATTAAGAGCCAATGCTAATGTTATGTATTGACACATAAGCAGATACTCACAATGAAAGGGGAATAAACACTGAACTCATCAGGATACTTTTAAGGAAGACAAGAGAAATACAGAAGTTTGCTGCTTTAAAAAAAAATGCATTAATGTTACTGTTTTATTCATACTAATTAGAATATATACACAAAAAATGTGTATCATATATCACTTTCAAAAATTTCCATGTTCCATGAGAACTATGTAAACAATGCAAAATGTTTCCACTACATAACAAAAGAAGAAAATCAGCATTCCCATGTAGTATTAGGAAAATATTTGGATAATTTGAATTTATAGTAAAACAAAGTGAAATATTACAAAGCAGTCTTTTCATGAAGTAGCCTTATATAGCCCAGAAGCAATACGTTTCATACTTTCAAACACTTTGGTATAAGTTAAATTAATACAAAGCAAAAAAAAAGAAGAAGAAGAGGAAGAAGAAAAAAAACCTCTACTTTGGTTTTCACATTATTGGAACTTCAGCAACAAGGCAATTGCATAGCTACCTTGGATGATAAAATGGAAAACCTCTCATCTGCTTGCCTCTCCTCCTGGAAATGGACGTGCTAGGAGAGCGCTTCACAGGACTTCAGGAAAATAAGGAGCATCGCACTTCCTTCCACAATGCTCTCAGCAATAGCTTGAGGGTTTTATAAAACCTCAGAATCAGTTGGGATACAAGTGATCTTGATTATTTCCTCTTAACAAATAGAAATAACCTCACATTAAGGCAGCTCAGAAGTACAATCCACATTTAAAGTAGAACATAAATCTCTTAAAAATCATATTACTATAGTTTCTCAACAGTTCATACTTGAATAAAAAGAACATACTTCATTAATAAAAAGAAAAATCCAAGTTTAATAGCCCACTAACAATACTTTTTAAGAAACAGAAATAACTGTTTACATGCTACAAATATTTCTTCACTGATTCACACATAACTTTCACAACTGTACGACTAAGCTGATCTGGAATTTTTCATGGCATCGTTTTTATAATTACGTTTTCTCACCTATACTGTCCAAATGTGGTACTGATTTTTTTCGCTGTTTTAGTTCTGTGTACTGTCTTTTAAATGAATCCCTATATCCAAGAATTGTGGCTGAGCAACTGTCGATGAATCGCTCTTCTGTCATCCATCACAGCAGCAAAATGGGAACATCCTCTGAGGATTTTCTCAGCAATGGAAGTTACACTGGGACTTTCTGTGCAGATAAGAAAGTCTTGAAAAAAAAAAAAGAAACGTCAGTGAACTTTACAAACTTACAGTCAAATATCATGCATCGTTGTATTTTCTGAAGTAAAAGAACAGACAATCCAGCATTCAACGTTACTGACAAATAGTGCAAATGCCTCCAAAGACAGCATCCCATGAACAAGTCCTCAGGCCTTCCAAAGAGACAAGAGTGCCCAGGGAACACTCAGTAAGATTAACCAGCATGATAATCTTCATAACAAAGCCAGTACAAAAAGTAAAAGACACAATTTAAAGTTGGTTATGGACAGGTGTCATGACTCTTGCCTGTAATCCCGGCATTTTGAAAAGCCAAGGCCGCTGGATCATCTGAGCTCAGAAGTTCCAGAACAGCCTGGGCAACTTGGGGAAACCCCATCTCTACCAAAAAATACAAAAAAATGAGCTGGCCATGGTGGCACACACCTGTGGTCTCCGGACGCTGAGCTGGAAGAATCACTTGAGCCTGGAAGGCAGAGATTGCTGTGAGCTGAGATCATGCCACTGCACTCCAACCTGGGTAACAGAGAGTGAGACCCCTTCCCAAAAATATTTTAAAATATTTTTTAATTTGAGACAGAAATTGCAAATTAAAAGAGATCTCGGCTCACTGCAACTTCCGCCTCCTGGATTCAAACAATTCTCCTGCCTCAGCCTCCTGAGTAGCTGGGATTACAGGCAGGTGCCATCACGCCCAGCTAATTTTTGTATTTTTAGTAGGGGCAGGGTTTCACCATGTTGGCCAGTCTGTTCTCAAATTCCTGACCTTGTGATCTGCCTGCCGTGGCCTCCCAAAGTGATGGGATTACAGGCATGAGCCACCGCACCTAGCTAAAATAAAGTATTAATAAAAGATAAAGTTAGTTATCTGTCATGTTAATTTGAGGGTGGGTTGGTTGGTTGGTTGGTTTGGAGAGAGAGTCTCACTTTGTCACCAGGCTGGAGTATAATGGCATGATCTCGGCTCACTGCAACTTCTACCTCCCGGGTTCAAGCGATTTCCCTGCCTCAGCCTCCCAAGTAGCTGGGACTACAGGCATGCACCACCAAGCCCCGCTAATATTTTTTGTATTTTAGTAGAGACAGGGTTTCACCATGTTGGCCAGGTTGGTCTTGATCTCCTGACCTTGTGATCCACCCACCTCGGCCTTCCAAAGTGCTGGGATTCCAGGTGTGAACTACCACACCTGGCCTTATTTTTTATTTAATTATTTATATTTGAGACAGGGTCTCACCCTATAGTCCAGGTTGGAGTGCAGTGGCGTGATCACAGCTCAGTGCAGCCTCAATCTCCCGAACTCCAGCAATCCTCCCACCTCATCCTCTCAAGTAGCTGGGACTACAGGTGCACACCATCAAGTAGCTGGGACTACAGGTGCACACCATCACACCCCAATGTTTTTGTGTTTTTTTTTACTTTTAATAGAGATGAGGTCTCGCTACATTACTCAGCTGGTCTCGAACTCCTGAGCTCAAGCGATCTGAATGCCTCAGCCTCCAAAGTGCTAGGATTACAGGATGAGCCACCACACCCAGCCAATCTGCAGCTTTTCAAAGAAGAATCCTAAAGAGGACTAAAAGGACATACCCTAAAACAACTATTCAGCAAAACTGACTTATGTTTGAATGAACCATGCATAGAATGATTAACATTTTAAATGGATTATTTTATGATATTAGTATAGTATTAGAAACTTAAATTCTTGACTAAATTTTACAGCCAAGTATAAGAAGAAATGAACACTGACAGTGAACGAATGATATGTGAAACAGAAGGTTCTTACTGAGTTTTTCATATAAGGTGATGGCAAGATCCTAGAATTACTATTGTTTTGGTTTTGTTTGTTTTGCTTTGTTTTGTTGGGGGAGAGTGTCAGGGGAACTTAAATTATTTCGAAATTCATTTGGGATTAACTACGAAGACTATGGTATATCGAGAATTTGTACTGCCAGATATTAAAAAGTATAAAATTACAATTATTAAAACACCATATTTCACCAAATCTAAGATACCGATTGTAAGACATTTCACTGTTATATACCATAAAAAAGATGCCCAGAAAGGGAATCTCAAAGGAGAGACCCTCACAGAAAGTGGGGCTACCAAGCATTTATAGTCTCAATGAGGGATAAAAGCAAGAAACTACATGCAGAAGGATGGCAGAGGCCTGCACACCTCTTCCTTGACAGTAGAAGGAGGAAACAAAAACTCCAGTATCTGAACCAATAACCCTACCCCTGCAAATTTTGGGGGCTGAATTCACACTACCAGCATAGTCTTAAAAAATCTCAAGCGTAGAAATTAACTTAAGCAGAGGCAGGTTGGTAGAGCCCTTCCCCCAGTAACCAGCAGGAAAAAATGTATGGATTCTCATAAAGAACTCAACTTCTGTTAAGGCAAGAGCTGACTTTATATATATATATATATTTTTTTTTTTTTTTTTTTTTTTGGAGACGAAGTTTCGCTCTTCTTGCCCAGGCTGGAGTGCAATGGCGCGATCTCGACTCACTGCAACCTCCGCCTCCTGGGTTCAGGCAATTCTCCTGCCTCAGCCTCCTGAGTAGCTGGGATTACAGGCATGCGCCACCATGCCCAGCTAATTTTTTGTATTTTTAGTAGAGACGGGGTTTCACCATGTTGACCAGGATGGTCTCGATCTGTTGACTTCATGATCCACCCACCTCAGCCTCCCAAAGTGCTGGGATTACAGGCTTGAGCCACCACACCTGGCCTTAAATTTTTTTTTTTTTAAAGTTTCACTATGTTGGCCAGGCTGGTCTCAATCTCTTGGGCTCAAGTAATCCTCCAACAGAGCTAGGATTACAGGTATGTATGATTACTGCACCAGCCCCCCACAGCTGATTTTAAGATGCATTACAAATTTAAAGATGTTAAAATGTGGAAAATATATGACTTGAAACCAATGAAGTATCATAGACAAATAAATCACTAGAAGAGACGAGAAAGCCTAGAAAACAAATATTGATTAAAATGTCAAATAACAGCAAAATATTTGGCATATGATAAAAACATTAAGCCAATGACAGAAGGGTACATTTTTCAATATATGGCACAGACAGAAATGATTATGTAAGAAAAAAAGTTAAATTGCTCTCTACACCTTACTCTTCTAAATTACAAAGCCAAATTTTAAAAAAAGAACTAAAAGTGGGGCCCGGATGCAGTGGCTCACACCTGTAATCCCAGCATTTTGGGAGGCCAAGGCGGGTGGATCACAAGGTCAAGAGATCGAGACCATCCTGGTCAACATGGTGAAACCCCATCTCTACTAAAAATACAAAAAAATTACCTGGGCATGGTGGCACGTGCCTGTAATCCCAGCTACTCGGGAGGCTGAGGCAGGAGAATTGCCTGAACCCAGGAGGCAGAGGTTGCAGTGAGCCGAGATTGCGTCATTGCACTCCAGCCTGGGTAACAAGAGCGAAACTCCGTCTCAAAAAAAAAAAAAAAAAGAGAGAGAACTAAAAGAAAATAAATGTAAATATCTAAAAGACTGGGCTGTTTTTTTTGTTTTTTTTTTTTTGAGACAGAGTCTCGCTCTGTCACATAGGCTGGAGTAGAGTGGCGCGATCTTGGGTCACGGCAACTTCCGCCTCCCGGGTTCAAGCAATTCTCCTACCTCAAGCTCCCGAGTAGCTGGGATTACAGGCACCCACCACCACACTCAGCTAATTTTTGTATTTTTGGTAGAGATGGGGTTTCACCATGTTGGCCAGGCTGGTCTCGACCTCCTGACCTCAGGTGATTTGTCTGCCTCGGCCTCCCAAATTACAGGGATTACAGGTGTGAGCCATGCCTGGCCAAGGGCTACGCATTTTTAAAATATGCTCCCCTCAGTCGCTTTCCAAAAATATCCAAAGCATAAGCAAACATAAAATGCCAATTTCAAACTGGGCAAAAATACTTGTAATGACAAAGATTAATATCCTAAATATCACAATTATAAATCCATAAGAAAGAAAAGGACCCTACCCTATACCTCCAAGAAAATGCGTAAAGCTCAAGAACACTGAACTGACAAAAGAAGTATTATCAGCCAGTTAAGACACCAAAGAGCTCAACTTCACTAGTAATAGAAATGTAGGTAAAAATGGTATTATAACAATTTCTGGCTATCAAATTGGCCATTTTTTTTTTAAACCAGGAATACCCAGTGTTTGCAAGAGTGCAAGAATACTGGTCTTTACATACTGATGGTAAATAAGAAAATTGAGCAACTTTTCAGAAATGCAATTTAGTAAAATGTAGGGATGAAAAAGCTTGTCTTTTTTTTTTTTTTCTTAATTTAAAATTAAAAAAAAAAATTACTTCTTTCTTCCTTAAAAGATGGAGTTTCACCATGTTGGTCAGGCTGGTCTTGAACTCCCAACCTCAGGCGATCCGCCCACCCTGGCCTCCAAAGTGCTTGGATTATAAGCGTGAGCCACCACGCCCAGCCTTTTTTTTTTTTTTTTTTGAGATGGAATCTTGTGCTGTTGCACGGGGTTTCACTACGTTGGCCAGGCTGGTCTCAAACTCCTAACCTCAAGTGATCCGCCTGCCTCAGCCTCTCAAGCTGGGATTACAGGCATGAGCCACCATGCCCAGCCAAAAAAGCTTTTCAAAATGTGCAATATTCTCAGAAATAAGAACACTACTTCTAAGAATTTATCCAAAGCCAACAGAGACGGGCAAAAAGTGTGTAAAACTACATATCAGAGTTATTTATAATGAAGAAAATTTGGAAAATCACCTAATATAATGAAGAAAATTTGGAAAATCACCTAACACCCAACAATGGGGTAAAATTAAGTATTTTAATAAGAGAACTATAAAATGAAATGAAATACAACTATTAAAATATCATGTATCATTGAAATACTCTTCATAATAACAAAAGATTAGAATAACTTAAACGCCCATCAGTAGGGACTGGTTAAACAAATTATGGTGTAACAGCCAATGGAATACATAAAAAGAATGAGGTTACTCTCATGTTCTGATACAGATTCTTCTCTCTGCCTGAAATGGTCTTCTTCCTCCAGATATTCACCTGGCTCGCTTGCTCAAATGACACTTTATTCATGAGGGGGGTCCCTTGTCATCTTATATACAATAACTTGCTCCTATCCCACATGCATTCCTCTCCTCGTCCTGCTGCTCAATATTTACCATGTGGTGCATTTCAACTGTCCACGTGCTGTCTGACTTCCAACAGAGAAAAAAAGGTCCTTAAGGGCAGAGACTTTGGTCCACTGCTGTGAAACCCAACACCTAAAGCAGTACCTGACACTTAAGATGCTCAACAGATATTGGACAGATGGATGAATGGATGGATGGATAGATATGGGACAATCTCAAAGACACAAAAGAAAGAATTGTGTGTCAATTTTCCTATCATTTGTTTTTTTGTTTGTTTGTTTTGTTTTTTGATTTTTTTTTGAGACGGAGTCTCACTCTGACATCCAGGCTGGAGTGCAGTGGCACAATCTCCGCTCACCACAATCTCTACCTCCTGGGTTCAAGCGATTCTCCTACCTCACCCTCCTGAGTTGCTGGGATTACAGGCACCCACCACCATGCCCAGCTAGTTTTTGTACTTTTAGAAGAGACAGGGTTTCACCATGTTAGCCAGACTGGTCTTGACCTCCTGACCATCCCTCAGGTGATCCATCCCCCTCTGCCTTCCAAAGTGCTGGGATTACAGGCATGAGCCACCGCTTCTTTTGTCTTTTAAAAAAGACAAAAAAAGGCACAGCCTGTTTTGCACAGCCTCCCTGCCTCTAGGCAGGAAGGATGGGGATGAGTTCTAGGAGAGAAATTTTTCACTTCTGGCCTTGCGTTTCCCAACCTAGGCACCTACCACCAGGCCCAGCTGATAGATATAGATGATATAGATATAGATGATATAGATATAGATATAGATATAGATATAGATATAGATATAGATATAGATTAGATATAGATATAGATATAGATATAGTTTTGTTTTGTTTTTTTGAGACAGAGTCTCACTCTGTTACTAGGCTGGAGTACTGTGGCATACTCTCGGTTCACTGCATCTCCACCTCCTGGGTTCAAGCAATTCTCCTGCTCAGCCTCCCGAGTAGCTGGGACTACAGGCCCCTGCCAAAACGCCTGGCTGATTTATGTATTTTTAGTAGAGATGGGGTTTTACCATGTTGGCCAGGATGGTCTCAATCTCTTGACCTTGTGATTCACCCTCTTCAGCCTCCCAAAGTGCTGCAATTAGATGTGTGAGCCACCAGGTCTGGCCTACACTTAAGTTGTATTTTACTTTGTTACAAGTTTAATTTTGGAAATGGAGCCAAAAAAATTTCTTTAAGGAAGCCCTAATAAAAGTGGTTACCTCTCTAAAACGAGGTAGAAGATGAGGCTGAAGGAATCTTCATTTACCACTTACTCTTAGAAAACCAATAATGGCAGGAATTTCTTTTGATTTCAGTAATGTAGTGCTCAGCACTTTGTATCTGCTTCTTTAAAAGGCTTTAAAATTTCTAACTTTTTTAAAAAAACACATTACTTATTTTTAAAAGTGATGCATAACCTAGTGATGAAATATGAGTATCTGGTGTCTCAGGAGGATCGTTCGGAATACAGAGTATGGCTGACTTGCAGGTCAGCTGACCCATCACAGACTTAACCTCCTTCTCTGTTCCTTCCCTCTATAAAGATTGAGAATGCTCAAACCATCACTTTTACAATCTTTTATACAGACTCAAGACATTGGGCGTTAGATACAGGCCTAGTCAATAGCTATGAGTAAATTTTTGAACAAGCTTCTGCTTCCCTAATTAAAAGCGACAGATGTGAGCAGTACTACCCTATCCCCTTATTCGTGTCGTGAATATAGATATGGTACCTGCAACTATGAGGGCATCTTGTAACTATGAGGCAGCAAGAGCCAACATTCAGGGGGAAAGACGCAAGCACTCCAGGTGCCTGGTAGAGTCCTTCAACAGAGGAACCCTTCCTGTTACAGAAGAAAAATAAACCTCTGTTTGTTTAATGTATTGTAAACTGCGCTCTGTGACCTGCAGCCAAAGGAATTCCTAACTGATATTCTTGGGAATCTATTTTAAAAAGAAACTAAGAGCCAGGCATGGTGGCGCGTGCCTGTAGTCCTAGCTTCTCAGGAGGCTGAGGCTGGAGAATCCCTTGAGTTCAGAAGTTCTGGGCTGTAGTGCGCTATACTGATCTGGTGTCCGCACTAAGTTCGGCATCAATATGGTGACCTCCTGGGAGTGGGGGACCACCAGGTTGCCTAAGGAGGGGTGAACCAGCCCAGGTCGGAAATGGAGCAGGTCAAAACTCCCGTGCTGATCAGTAGTGGGATTGTGCCTGTGAATAGCCACTGCACTCCAGCCTGGGCAACACAGTGAGACCCTACCTCTTTTTAAAAAAAATTAAAAAAAAAAAAAGAAAGAAACTAAAAATAAAAGAACTCATTCTTTGTAAATTTAGAAAGAAGACTGTAGGCCGGGCGTGGTGGCTCATGCCTGTCATCCCAGCACTTTGGGAGGCCGAGGTGGGCAGATCACAAGGTCAGGAGATCAAGACCATCCTGGCTAGCATGATGAAACCCCGTCTCTACTATAAGTACAAAAAATCAGCCGAGCGTGGTGGCAGTCGCCTGTAGTCCCAGCTAATCGGGAGGCTGAGGTAGGAGAATTGCTTGGACCTAGGAGGCAGAGGTTGCAGTGAGCCAAGATCGCGCCACTGCACTCTAGCCTGGGCAACAGAGTGAGACCTCATCTCAAAAAAAAAAAAAAATGTGGGCTTCGAAGCCAAACAGATGGGGATGGGTGCAGTGGCTGCACCTGTAATCCCAACACTGCGGGAAGCTGAGGTGAGAGGATCACTTGAGCCCAGAAGTTTGAGGTTGTGGTGTGCTAGGATTCTAACCACTGCACTCTAGCCTGGGCGACAGAGTGAGACCCCAAGAAAGAAAGAGAAGAAAGAAAGAAAGGGGGTGGGGAGAAAGAAAGAAAGAAAACTATAAAAAGTCAGAAATATACATTGCAAACCAATTCTCTTCCTTAATGTCTCTATTGTGAATTTTTTAAAACAACAAAACAACAAAAACTCAGAGGAAACACAAAAAAGCAAAATCAGTCAACATCAACTCCATACAACAGATATTAGAACACAAACATTTAGAATGTGTCCATTCAACAAGGATAAACTCACACAGTAAAACTGAAGTCTGATCAATGCTGGGGCTGCTCTGGACTAATGTTCATTGTTCGATAAATTTCTTTAAGTAGTAACAGAGCAGTATCTTCAGATTCCCTACGAAAAGAAAAAGCACACTTACCTAAGAAACAATTAGTAGAAATTAACTTCTATGCACAATGGTAGAAAATGTAGGTTCTATTCTATTCAACTCTAAGAAGGGCAAATGATAGCAATGTAATCTCAGTGTAATAAATAAAGCAGTGTAATCTCAGAGCTGCCCTTAAAAACTAAGTGGTAAAAAGCTCATAGTTGGATCTTGGGAGAAAAAAAAACTAAATGGATACTGATTAGCGCCAAAATAGCTGTGCTGCAATTCTCCTTCGCGACAGGGATACAGGAAAGAATGGCATTTCAAAGTCCCTACCACTCCCACTGTGAAAGGCATTCCCATGAAAACAGTGTGCAAGAACCAAGGGTCTTTGGTCAAAAACAGATGACATAGTGCCATCTGGTGGATAACTAAAGGGGAAAAATCATGATTCTGAATATATAACAGTTCCAATGAATATTCACAGTACATTGTATCAGTAAAAGAATCTCACTAAAACTAAAACTGCTGCATGTGCTAGCACCTAAAGCCCACTCAAATGTTCCCAAATTTAAGAACACTTACCAATAGCATAAGTGACTCTGAAGAGCAAAAAGATATTCATTAAAACTCTCTATTGGTTTTTCTTGAAGAACGTAGTCAATTCGGCGGCCTCCATTTAACATTCCAACCTTCCCTAAGTAGTCCTCATCCTTGGAAAAATCTGGACTTTCAACAACCTTTTCTGCTAGAATTTAAATCATTTCAATATCAAAGTCAATCACTTAATCATTATCCTTTGACTTTAGCTGACTTTCTGGGCTCAATTGAGAATACTGCTTGACACACGTAGCAACCTGAGGAGCTACCAGGCTCACTCCCCATTCCTCCAAAGAGCCAGGGGAAGAGGGGCTGGTTACCCAAGAGAGAGGAGAAAGAGCCAACAAGCTGAGAGGAGTTGTGAAGATAAGGGGTGAGAAAGCATTGTAGAAAAAAAGGAAATAGGATTAGAATCTGAAAAAGTCAAGAACATCACAGCACAATGACCTAACATTGCATAACTCTGTAACATAGTTAATCAACAGTATTAGAAAGAACACTTCTCAGAGTAAGTCTTTAAAATGCAAACACTAAAACAAAGTGAGTGCTCATCTAGGAAATTCCACTCTGGCCTTAACAATCTCAATAAAATTTTTAAACTGCAGAGGAAAAAGTTCAGTAACTATCAGGTAAAAACCCACTAAAAAAAAGATGACATGGGTTTTGAAGTAATGCAACTGACAATACAGTTTCCTTTAAAGAGCTTCTATAATTTAACAAAAAAGTCTAGAAAGGAAACGCATCATTATATAACTTTTAAGTGTTACACTCATATAAAACATTTGTATTAGCAAATGACTCAAATGTCAAATTTACCTTCAACGACTTGCTTTTCTTCTTCTTCTTTGATCTGATTGGCCACCTTCTCCAATTCTTCTTGCAACTGAGTTGAAGAGGTATGAGCACGGGCAAACTCATTTAATGTCTGCCAAGCACTTTTGAGAGAGCTAATAAAACCCTGCTTCAAATCAGATCCCATACGAGAGAGACTTTCTTTCAATTCTAAAGAGATTAAGATGGCATAAGTTCATTAGTCACTGGGTAAACTTCTGCATCACAAAAATTACAAGTTAACACTCTTCTCAGACAAGATAAGACTGCTTCTTCCTCTCTTAAATGTCAAATATATGGAGTGCTCAGCCAAGAACCCTCAACATGTTAAAATGTCATGGAGAGTCTCATTCTGTTATTTCTTTCTTAACGACTAAACTTGATCCAGCCAAAATCTACAAATATCCTCTCTCCAAATAAAAAAAGTTCAAATACCATAAAAATGTAAACACATTCTTACAGTTAAAAATAAAAAAAAGTAAATTTAGACATGGGGGCCAGACACAGTAGTTCACACCAGTAATTCCAAAATTTTGGGAGGCCAAGATGGGAGAATCGTTTGAGGCCCAGAGTTCAAGATTAGCCTGGGCAACAGAGTGAGACCCTATCTCTATTGTTAAAAACATAAAAATAAAAAGAGGTCTACAAGATTTAAAAATGTAAACAGGAAGTGGTTTTGAGAATTTAAGATTCTTTTTTTTTTTTCTTTTTTGAGACGGAGTCTCACTCTGTTGCCCAGCCTGGAGTGCAATAGCACAATCTTGGCTCACTGCCACCTTCACCTCCCGGGTTCAAGGGGAGAATTTAAGATTCTGATTGAATCACAACTTAAACTCCAACTCAGAAATGAAGAAATCCCTGCTCCCTCACTTTTTCTACTATTGTCTAATAATCACGTGTGAATTCAAGGTCTCTTGAGTTATAAAACATGTCTCAGTTTAACTTCAAAAGTTAAATATTTCGAAAAAGCATGTTAGCAAAACAAACAAAAAACATACTTTCGCATAAGAGTGCACAATCACTTTTCCTTCTCTTCTGCCACTCCCATCCCTTCTACCCAAACTTTCAAATGTAGGGTTAATATACACCATTAACAGGAAAAAGAGAAACCTAAATTCTACTTGGAATCACCAATCTATTATGTTTAATGAATTTTTTAATAGGAAAGTGTGTCTAGTTAGCAAGAAAATGACAATTCACTTAGACAACATCAAATTTATTTCTTGATGGTCTGGTCATTACTTTAAATATTATTCTTCTGCCTAATTCCAAAACTTATAACCAAACTCTATCAAAATCTAATTATGAGGCTAGGCGCAGTGGCTCAAGCCTGTAATCTCAGCACTTTGGGAGGCTAAGGCGGGTGGATTACAAGGTCAAGAGATCTAGACCATCCTGGCCAACATAGTGGAACCCGTCTCTACTAAAAACACAAAAAAATTAGCTGGGCATGGTGGTGTGCGCCTGTAGTCCCAGCTACCCAGGAGGCTGAGGCAGGAGAACTGCTTGAACCCAGGAGGCGGAGGTTGCAGTGAGCCGAGATCGCGTCACTGCACTCCGGCCTGGCACCTGGCAACAGAGCGAGACTCTGTCTCAAAAAAAAAAAAAAATCTAATTATGCATCTTATTACCTTATTACCAACTTCCCCCATTCTTAATTATCTCAACAATTAGAATGTCATCAAAGAGAAATAACTTACTTATAACTTTGTTACAGCTCTTCCAAATTCTTAGTTTAAAAGTTCTGAACATAGTAGGAACTTAAATAATACCAATGCTTCAGAGACAATTTAGTGTCAAAATTTTCATAATTCATTACAGATTATAAATGACAGGAAAAAAATTTTTATAGTATTTGCTTTTTACCTAAATGAAGTCTTTTTCTGCCTTTGTGATGTGGAATGAGAACAGCTTTTAGGTCCAAATCTGGAACAATCATAGGTTCTAATCTATATGCCACTGGATCAAGCTATAAATAGAAGAATTTATGAATAAATGAATAAAAGAGATTTATGAAGCTGTTTTGAGTTATATGCCTTCGCTGGGTAAGAAAATGGATACATGGCAAATCAGAGATTTTTATTTTTCTCCAAGTCTTATTCAAATACTGACAATTATAAAAAGATTTTCTAGTTTGTGTGTAAGGTTACTTTGCAAGCAAGGCAACAAAATTATTTCCTTGAACAAAGGCTTTTGGTAGAAAAGTTTATTGGAAAGTGTCAGACTATAACTCTTAGAACACAGAGTTGGAAAAAAAAAAACACAGAGTTGAACCATACAAAATCAAGATTTTGTAGAATTTATTAGGATAAAGAGGACAGGTTCTTCATCTTGTTCAAAAGAGAAAGTAAAATGCCAGGCACAGAGGCTCACACCTGTAATCCCAGCAATTTGGGAGGCTGAGATGGAAGGATCACTTGAGGCCAGGAGTTTGATACCAGCCTGGTCAACAGAGCAAGACCCCATCTCTATAAAAAAGTAAAAAATTTTTTTAAAAAGAAAAAACTGTTTTAAAAAAGAAAGTAAAATCAGTTACTTACCGGATGATAAATATTGAAGAACCCTTTACAGGTAGGAAGGCTGTAATTCTCATCTATCCTGTCAATTCCTCGAATAGTAAGAAACATAGCAATTGGAGATCCCAAGGCAAAGAATAACTCTGGTTCAAAGTCTAATGAGTTGTAAGCAACAGAAACCTGGAAAGAATCAAATAACAATAAAAGATGATTGTTCCAACGTCACATAGTAGAAAATTCTTCTGAATGTTCAAAAATTCTTAGAACTACACCTACTTAAAAACACCAAACACAACCTAGGACTTCTCTCCATAGGAGGCACCTAACTTCATCTTTCACTGAGTAGAAGTGATGGGAGCTTTTGGGCTAGAGTGTCTGAGGCAAGCATGGTGAAGCCAGGATGGTAGGTTTGTTTTGTTTTGTTTTTTAATTTTTTAATTAAAACGATATAAAAATTTTAAAAAATAAAAATAAACAAACAGATGATGCCCCTCAGACAGCTGTTGCTAGCTTAAAAGTACTAAGAAAATTCTCTTTAAAATCTTTATAGACTATTATATCCTCTAACTATACTTTTACTTATTGTTTAGCATAGCAAATAGTATATAAGAATTACTATATTTATATGGTTATAAATATGGTTAAAACTTTAGACTTCTAAGCTCAAACTGCCTGGGTCTGAATCATGGTTTCACTCCTTCCTCACTGTGTGACCTTGGGCAGGCTTCTTAACCTCTCTCTCCTTCACCTCAGTTTCCTGATTTATAAATGGGGATTATAACAATGCCAAGCTCACATGTGACTGAAAAATAAATCACCGAATCCATATAAGGTGCTTAGCTCAGAACCTGGTTTGCTTAAGCACTCAGTGAGCATTACTTCTGTTATTATTATAACTATCAACCTCTCCAGTTAAGTTTCTTTCCATCAGAAAAATGATTTGTCCTGAAAGAGCATATTTTGAGTAGCTTACATGTAGCCTCTCTCAAGAGAAAGCACTGTCATCTGTATAACACTCCACAGTTTGCAAAGCTCTTTCATTTGTTTCTCAGTAGCAGAAAACGTGTCTTTTTATTTTAGTATCTTAAGAGCAAAGAACAATGAATGGCATAATCCAAGTGTTTGACAGAGGTCCACAGACAGAGGGAGGCAAGGCAAAAACCATTATGCCCATGGTGAAGCTCAAATACGTGACATGACTTACCCAAGAACACAGAGCCAGTGAGTGGCAGAGTGCAGACTTAGATCCAGGACTTGTAATTCCAAATCCAATTATCTTTCTACTATACTAAGCTGCCCTTCTAACTAAGTCACATTCCTTCACATTCCTAGGTTTGTCCTTATATTTACAAATTTGACAGCTTTGTTCCAGCAAACAAAAAAAAGAAAAAGAAAGCTAAAGAACAATTACAAACTGGAAGAAATATTTATAACATACATGACAAGGAGCTAATAACTTTAATCTGGAAACATTTCTTAAATGTCAGTAAAGAAAAAAAAACACAATAGAAAAACAGGTAAATTGGGCCAGGCGCAGTGGCTCATGCCTGTAATCCCAGCACTTTGGGAGGCCAAGGTGGGCAGATCACAAAGTCAAGAGATCGAGACCATCCTGACCAATGTGGTGAAACCCTGTCTCTACTAAAAATACAACAATTAGCTGGGCATGGTGGTATGTGCCTGTAGTCCCAGCTTCTCAGGAGGCTGAGGTAGGAGAATTGCTTCAATCTGGGATCGGAGATTGCAGTGAGCCAAGATTGCACCACTGCACTCCAGCCTGGAGACAGAGCAAGACTCCATCTCAAAAAAAAAAAAAAAACAGGTAAATTCAACACTTAAGGAAAAATGTGTAAAAAATGTGAGAAAATATCTAACCTCACTAATGCTCAAAGAAATAGAGTGTGATACCATTTTCCCTATGAGGTTATCAGAAACGTAATGAAATACTAAAAGGAAAGTAAGAAATACTAAAAAGAAAGGAAAAAAATTATATGAAAATATACACACAAAAAAATCTTTTAGAATAAAGTTGTCAATGTGAAAATACTACATATTTTTAAAGGAAAATGGTAGTACCAGTACTGGCAATGGACAAGGGAAACAGGCAACCTTCTAAACTGCCAGTGAGAATACAAATTGGTGCCTCTCCAGGGGAAGTGACTGTGTCCATCCTTTGGCCCAGCTATCCTATGTCTACCAACTTAACTGAAAGAAATCATAAAGAATGTGCACAGAAAACTGGCTTTAAAATGTTCATCACCAGACTACCTGAAAGAGTAAAAAAGTATAAACTGCCTACATGTCTAATATGATGGGTTGGATTGTGTCCCCACAAAACATTTATGTTGAAGTTAACCCCCAACACCTCATAATGCGACTTTATTTGGAACTTGGGTCTTTAAAAAGGTAATCAAGTTAAAATGAGATCACTGGGATGGGCCCTAATCTGACTGATTTCTGAAACGGGGAAATTTGGACACACAGACAGACACTCACAGCAGGAAGATGATATGAAGAGATAAGGAGAGTACAACATAAAAAAGGAAGGCCGGGGCTGGGCGTGGTGGCTCAAGCCTGTAATCCTGGCACTTTGGGAGGCTGAGGTGGGTGGATCACGAGGTCAAGAGATTGAAACCATCCTGGTCAACATAGTGAAACCCCGTCTCTACTAAAAATACAAAAAATTAGCTGGGCATGGTGGCGCGTGCCTGTAATCCCAGCTACTCAGGAGGCTGAGGCAGGAGAATTGCTGAACCCAGGAGGCAGAGGTGGTGGTGAGCCGAGATCACGCCATTGCACTCTAGCCTGGGTAACAAGAGCAAAACTCCGTCTCGAAAAAAAAAAAAGGAAGGCCAGAGAGATGCACCTAGAAACCAAGAACTGCCAAAGATGCCAGCAAATCTCTAAAAGCTCGGAAGAAACGCAGAAGGATTCCCCTCCAAGCTTCAGAGAGAGAATGGTCCTGCTACCACCCTTATCTCTTCTGGTTTGCAGAACTGTGTGACAACAAATTTCTATGGTTCAAGGCCACCCAAGTTGTGGTACTTCGCTATGGCGCCTTAAGAAACTAATACTTTCAATAATAAGGAAATAAGAATAAGTCATTATCTGTCCAAACAGTGAAATTACAGTCATTACTGATTAAAGCAGTCATTAAAAATGCAGTTGTAGGCCCGAAGCAGTAGCTCATGCCTGTAAGTAATCCTGGCATTTTGGAAAGCCAAGGCAGGAGGATCACTTGAGGCCAGGAGTTCAAGGCTAGCCTGAGCAACATTTCTGTCTTTACAAAAAAATGAAAAAAATTAGCCAGGTGTGGTGGTGCACACCTACAGTCCTAGCCACCTGGGAGGCTGAGATAGAGGTATCCTTTGAACCCAAACCTCAAACTCTTGTTCTGAGGTTACAACGGGCTACGATCACCTCATTGCACTCCAGCCTGTGCAATAGAGTAAGACTGTCTCTATAAAGAGAAAAGAGAAAAGAAAACGAAATTGTAGAGGAATATTTACTTACTTAAGAATATATTCTGCCAGGTGTGCTGGCTCACGCCTATAAACCCAGCACTTTGGGAGGCCGAGGTGGGCAGATCACAAGGTCAGGAGATTGACACCATCCTGGCTAACACATTGAAACCCCATCTCTACTAAAAACACAAAACAACAGCTGGGCATGGTGGCACACACCTGTAGTCCCAGCTACTCAGGAGGCTTAGGCAGAAGAATCGCTTGAACCCAGGAGGTGGAGGCTGCAGTGAGCTGAGTTCGCCCCACTGCACTCCAGCCTGGGTGACAGAGGAAGACTCTGTCGCAAAAAAAAAAAAAAAAAAAAAGGCCAGGCATGGTGGCTCACACCTATAATCCCAGCTCTTTCGGAGGCCAAGGCAAGCAGATCACGAGGTCAAGAGATCGAGGCCATCCAATCCAACATGGTGAAACCCCATCCCTACTAAAAAATACAAAAATAAGCTGGGTGCGTGCCTGTAGTCCCAGCTACTCGGGAGGCGGAGGCAGCAGAATCACTTGAACCTGGGAGGCGGAGGTTGCAGTGAGCCGAGATCACACCACTGCACTCCAGCCTGGCGACAGAGAAAGACTCCATCTCAAAAAAAAAAAAAAATATATTCCTCTGCAATTTCATTTTAATACAAATAAAACATCCAATTTCATTTTGTACCTTCATGAACTCACTTATGAAAATGCATCTTTATATACCCAACTATAAATATCCTGACAGTAACACTGACTAAAAGGAATTCAATAAGTCTGAAAGCCACTGTGATACAAGTATGTTAAAGCATATTATTAAATGCAGCATTGGTCAATTTTTATAAGACTTTTTCCCCAAGGGAAGAATTACAAGTAGCAGAAAACATAAGTTGAGTGAATAGAGCCAAGTTGCTCTCATAGAAACTGAAGTATATTCTGAACATAATTTTCTAACTATGGCCAGCCACTTCTGTTGTTAGTGGCCATGAGACTAATGCTACAAAAGTATGTGTGAGTGTGGAAAAACTGAAATAGAGACAAATTCCGAAGTCAGATAACATGTTCTGTATGCACTTAATCCTTTATTTTGAGCACTGTCGAAGAAGCAAAAAATTTTCACTAAATCATTTTTCTCCACATCCCAAATAAATATCAAAAAAATATTTAAAGAACTTAAAGCCAGCCCAAATGATAAAGATGTATGATTCCAACATGAACTATGTAGCCCTAGTCCATACGCAAACTTACCTGTCCAGCGCCAACTTCAAAAGATTCATAATTAACACACACAGAAGAAACGTAAGCACCAACTGGAAGTTTCCTCTTTGACTCATTAGATTCTGCGGGGAGAGAAGCCATGTCTTTAGTTTTCTGGGCACTTTCCTCTTGTCCTTTTGTAGAAGTGACTGCCATTGCCTTCTTTTCTGACAATGCTTTTTTCTGTAAAATACCAAAATGTAGTAACATAATCTTGAGGAAAGGTTCAGCTCCCAGCTATCATTATAAAACATGTTATCTCAGTGTTAAGGGATGATTAGTAACTTCTTAGGAATAGTAATAGTATTTGGATTTTTTTAATGTCCTTTTTATTCCCTGAAGCTTTTGCTTTAGCTAATTAAAAAAAATGTCCAGGCCACGCACAGTGGCTCACTCTGTAATCTCAGCAATTTGGGAGGCCAAGGTGGCAGAATCGTTTGAGGACAGGAGTTCAAGACCAATGTAGGCAACATAGTGAGACCTCTATCTCTACAAAAAATAAAAAAGTAGCCAGGCCTGGTGGTGTACACCTGTGGTCCCAGCTACTCAGGAGGCTGATGTGGGAGGATCACTTGAGCCTAGAAGGTCAAGACTGCAGTGACCTGTGATCGTGCCACTGCACTCCAGCCTGGGCAACAGAGAGAGACCTGTCTCAGAAAAAAAATTAAAATTTAAAAAACTTTGTACATGTCCTTTTTAGACATGCATACTAAATATTTGGGGAACAAATGTCACAATGTCTATAATTTAATATTCTTAAGAAAAACAAGAAGCAAAGAAAATATAGCAAAACAGCTACAACTAAGTATTGGCTCTCGTTAGACAAATCCCAATAATATTACTTTGAGTAAAAGAAACCAAGTATAAAAGAATATATAGGCCGGGTGCAGTGGCTCACGCCTCTAATTCCAACACTTTGAGAGGCCGAGGCAGGCGGATCACGAGGTCAAGAAACCAAAACCATCCTGGCCAACAGGGTGAAACCCCGTCTCTACTAAAAAATACAAAAATTAGCTGGGCATGGTGGCTATAGTCCCAGCTACTCAGGAGGCTGAGGCAGAAGAATTGCTTGAACCCAGCAGGCGGAGATTGCAGTGAGCCAAGATTGTGCCACTGCACTCCAGCCTGGCACCTGGTGACAGAGCACGACTTTGTCTCAAAAAAAAAAAAAAAAGAATATATATTATTCATTCTATTTACATGAATTTTTATAACAGGCAAAACTATTCCATATTGAAGGAAATCAGAAGTGTGGTTTTGTGGTGGGAGGAGTTAACTAGAAAGAAGCATGAGGGAGCTACCTGAGCTCCCTCATAAAATAGAAATGAACACAGAAATGTTCAATTTCTTATTTTAGGCAGTGATTACACAAGTGCATACAGTTGTGAAAACTTATCCTACTGCACACTTAAGATGTAAGCATTTCAGCACACGCCTGTAATCCCAGCACTTTGGAAGGCTGAGGTGGGTGGATCACTTGAGCTCAGGGGTTCAAGACCAGCCTGGGCAACATGGCAAGACCCCATCTCTATAAAAAATAGAAAAATTAGCCAGGCATGGTGGTACCAACCTGAAGTCTCAGCTACTTGGGAGGATGAGGTGGGAGGATTGCTTGAACCCAGAAGATGGAGGTTGCAGTGAGCCATGTGGGCAACACTCTTGAGTAACAGAGTGAGACCCTGTCTCAAAAAATAATAATAAATAATTTTTCAAAAGATCTGTGTTTCTATAAGTAAACAAAAGCTTTGGGGCATCTACACAAAAGCTATTATCTCAGCTAGGCACCGTGGCCCATGCCTGTAATCCCCGCACTTTGGGAGGCCAAGGCAGGTGGATCACCTGAGGTCAGGAGTTTGAGATCGGCCTGACCAACATGGCAAAACCCCATCTCTATTAAAAATACAAAAAAATTACCTGAGCGTGCTGGCACATGCCTGTAATCCCAGCTACTTGGGAGACTGAAGCAAGAGAACTGCTTGAACCTGGGAGACAGAGGTTGCAGTGAGCTGAGATCCAGCACTGCATTTCAGCCTGAGCAACACAGCAGGACTCGTCTCAAAAAAAAAAAAGTGGGGGAGGACTCAAGATGGCACTGTGAGAACCCAGGATTGGAGCTCTCGTTGAATCCGCGGAGAAGTGAGTCGGAGCTGCATTTCCAGACTGATCTTTGTTGCCCACAGAACGGGGAAATTCCCAAGTATAAAGGAGACGCGGGACGCCAGGCAGTACCTCTGCCTGGCGAAGCCGGCAGCCGGGGTGGCGGCGGAAGGCCCTACCCAACGCTCCCCACAGGGCGTGCTTGTCCGGGTGCCCTGTTGAACCGGCAACCTGAGACTTGAGAGGGCTGGACTTGAGACTGAACGAGACTTGGACAGTGGGCCAGCCCAGGGGATTGCAGGGACAGAGCGTTTGGGGTAGCCCAGTGGGATGAACAAAAACCGCGATTTCAAACGATCCCCATGCAGACGGTCCGAGACGCTCTGTGGGAGAGGGGCGTCCACCATTACCGAGGCAACCCGCCCCAACTGAGATACACGCCCACTGCTGACGCAGCCAGCCGTTGCCGAGGCAACCCGTCCCTACTGAGACACACGCCCACTGCTGACGCAGCCTGCCGTTGCCGAGGCAACCCGCTACAACAGAGAGACTCCGCCGCAGGGCGTGGCGGAGACCACAGCAGAACAGCAGAGCCTGCAGCAACAGGGCGAACCACACAACAGCAGGGCAGAGCCTCGGCAGGCAAACAGTGGCTAGTCTGCCTCCTAGCTGGGCAGGACACCTCAATGGACATCCAAAAATAAAGCGCGAACCCCCCCAACACAGAGCATTTGAGAAAAAAAGGGTTTTTTTAATGAGCTCTGTTGCAGCAGAATCAAACATAGCAGCCTAAGAGCCCTGAATGAACAACAGAGCTCACAGCTCAGCACTTGAGCTCCTATTAAGTACAGACTGTCTCCTCAAGCAGCTCCCTGACCCCTCCATATCCAAAAGACTGACATTTGGCAGGCATCATCCTGGGACAAAGATAGCAGAAAAAGAAACTGGTAGCATCCCTCACTGTGCCACAGCTGCTAGAGGTGCACCCCAGACAAGCAGGGCCTGGAGTGGACCTCGGCAGTCGTACAGCGAAGGGGCTAGACTGGTAGAAGGAAAACCAAGTAACAGAAATACTTCATCATCAACAATCTGGGTGTCCACTCAGAGACCCAATCGAAAAGTCAGCAACTACGCAGATGACAAGTGGATAAATCCACAAAGATGGGAAGAAACCAGCGAAAAAAGGAGGAAAACACCCGAAACCAGATCACCTTGCCTCCTAGAAAGGACCAAAACTCCTCACCAGCAAGGGAACAAAGCTGGACGGAGAATAACTGTGACGAAATGACGGAATTAGACTTCAGAAGGTGGATAATGAGAAACTTTTGTGAACTAAAAGAATATGTATTAAATCAATGCAAAGAAACTAAGGAACTTAAAAAAAGATATGAGGAAATGATAACAAGAATGGATAACTTAGAGAGGAATATGAATGAATTAAAGGAGCTGAAAAACACAATACGAGAACTTCGCGAAGCATGCACAAGTTTCAATAGCCGAATTGACCAAGCAGAAGAAAGAATATCTGAAGTCGAAGACCAACTCAATGAAATAAAACGAGAAACCAAGATCAGAGAAAAAAGCGCAAAAAGGAATGAACAAGTCTCCAAGAAATGTGGGACTATGTGAAAAGACCTAACCTACATTTGATAGGTGTACCAGAAGGGGACGAAGAGAATGAATCCAAGCTGGAAAATACTCTTCAGGACATCATCCAGGAAAATTTCCCCCACCTAGCAAGACAGGCCAACACTCAAATGCAGGAAATACAGAGAACACCACAAAGATATTCCGCAAGAAGAGCAACCCCAAGGCACATAATCGTCAGATTCAACAAGGTTGAAATAAAGGAGAAAATACTAAGGGCAGCCAGAGAGAAAGGTCGGGTCACCCACAAAGGGAAGCCCATCAGACTCACAGCAGATCTCTCGGCAGAAACACTACAAGCCAGAAGAGAGTGGGGGCCAATATTCAACATTCTTAAAGAAAAGAACTTTCAACCCAGAATTTCATATCCAGCCAAACTGAGCTTCAGAAGTGAAGGAAAAATAAAATCCTTTGCAAACAAGCAAGTAAGTACTCAGAGATTTTGTCATCACCAGGCCTGCTTTACAAGAGCTCCTGAAAGAGGCACTACACACAGAAAGGAACAACCAGTACCAGCCATTTCAAAATCACACTAAATGCTAAAGAGCATCAACATAATGAAGAATCTACAACAACTAACAGGCAAAACAGCAACTTAGCATGAAAATGGCAGTATCAAATTTACACATAACAATATTAACCCTAAATGTAAATGGACTAAATGCACCAATCAAAAGACACAGACTGGCAAATTGGATAAAAATCCAAAACCCATCAGTGTGCTGTATCCAGGAAACCCATCTCACATGCACGGATACACAAAGGCTCAAAATAAAGGGATGGAGGAAGATTTACCAAGCAAATGGAGAGCAAAAAAAAGCAGGAGTTGCAATTCTCATCTCAGATAAAATAGACTTTAAAGCAACAAAGATCAAAAGAGACAAAGGAGGCCATTATATAATGGTAAAAGGATCGATACAACAAGAAGAGTTAATGATCCTGAACATATATGGACCCAATGCAGGAGCACCCAGATACATAAGGCAAGTTCTTAATGACTTACAAAGAGACTTAGACTCTCACACAATAATAGTGGGAGACTTTAACACTCCACTGTCAATATTAGACAGATCAACCAGACAGAAAATCAACAAGGATATCCAGGGCTTAAACTCAGACCTGGAGCAAGCAAACCTGATAGACATTTACAGAGCTCTCCACCCCAAATCCACAGAATACACATTCTTCTCAGCACCACATCACACCTACTCTAAAATTGACCACATAATTGGAAGTAAAGCACTGCTCAGCAAATGCAAAACAACTGAAATCATAACAAACAGCCTCTCAGACCATAGTGCAATCAAGTTAGAACTCAGAATACAGAAACCAACCCAGAACCGCACAGCTTCATGGAAACTGAACAACTGGCTCTTGAATGTTGACTGGGTAAACAATGAAATGAAGACAGAAATAAAGAAGTTCTTCGAAACCAATGA